GACCATAATATTACGTCATCGAGTGAATATCTAGGACTGTCCGGTCTGTCTGTTTCCATTCGAATTTCCTAAATATAATAATGTTACGTTAGTAATTATCCAAAACTACTACACAGTAATTTTAATTAGGACAACGAAAAATAAAAATTCTATATAACCTGTTCGCCAAAAATAATTTTATATGTGTACACTATACAGTGTGCTTAAAGTAATCAGGAGTATTTTGAATATACCACATTTAACGTCTTAAACAGTGGTGAAAAAAAATAAAATGATAACCTTATATTCTGCTCTTTAATGAAAGTTTGTCAAATATGTAGGTTTCTACTTTTGGTTAGTCAACGTATACTATTAGTCCTAAATCTAAAGAATATTCAGTGCAAAATTAGATCTTATTTGATTAGGTAGGCTTTCATTTTGATTTTTCCAGTAACGATTTATAATTAAATTTAGCGATTTTCAATAGTTAACTGTTTATTTTTAACACACAGGTTTATAGTATTTTCATACTAGGTAAAAATTGTTTGCCTTATATTTTATAACCTTAATCATTTTAAAGTAAATAATTTTAAATTATTTATAAGTAATTGTCGAAAACATCATAATTACCTCAACATCAGCAGAATTAACTGTTAGAATATAATTTACCAAACATAATGTAATAATGTATTTTATATTCATTTTGTATAATATATATATAGTTAAAATGTTATAAAACGCTTGAAGACTTTTAACTAACTGAAAGAAAATGTTCTTATGCCCAACAATAGCATGTCTAAGGTATAGTAGTTGTTGCTGAATAATATATTTTATCATTTCATTTCGTCTTGGTTGTCGTCACTGTATTTTACTGCACCAACACAGACATATTATTCAAAAACCGTAATTTTTAGTCGCGAGTTGACATAAATCTACGAACCACACATACAGTATAAAGAAACTATATTTTGTGTTTTAAAAATTAGAACAATGCTATTGTCACACATAAATTACGTTCATTATCTTTTCTACGGTCATACATTTAGCGTTAGTAATTTTTATCGTAGCATTAGAAAACATCAAAAAAAGAAACACATATTGGCACTACTATTTAGGAACATTTTTTAACATAATTTGCTAATAGAACTGATCAAAAATTATCCATTACAGAAATCGTAGAAAATACTGTTTTATGCAAATATGTTAAAATAATTTTAAGAGACATTTTTTAGAAAGGTACTTAAAATAAAACAAAATTTCCAAGTTGGTAAAAATATGCAAAAGCCCTACTTTTCAAGCTTGATTTTTTTTTTTTAATTTTAGGAAGGCTCTATGATAGGTTTTTACATAAGTATTACATAGTATATTTAAACAGCTTGCGTACAAGTCCGTAACACCACGGGATACATTTTTATGTCTCGTTCCGCGTACGCCTTGATACCACTCGAAATATTTTTCGTTGGCAACCCAAAATAAACACTTGGTTCGTAACAATGCTAACCACGGTACTCGAAAGGTGATGATTAATTTTATGTTGTGGCCAAAAGTTTTTTAATAATTGGCTTTAATCGGTTTATTGGAAAAACGTTCACTTGGTTATTTTGAACCACTGCATTCAAGTTTTTTCGTTGTGAAAGAACACATAAATTTAAAAAAATTTAACGTCCCCATCCCCATTCCCACCTTCGTAAGGATAAATTTTCGATAACGGTGTCGGTGTCGATTTTTGCAGTTGTGTTCCGAAGTAAAAACATAGACAGAGAGAAAAACGCAACGCATTATTATTTATGTAGGCATGCAAGTTGTGAGTATTCCAATAAACTATGAGTAAAACAAGCAAGTTGCAGTCTTCCTTATTATATAAACAATACAAAACGATATAATATACAGCTTAAACTAAAAAGGAATATTGCAGGTAGATTAGTACACGTTCTACGCATAGGTCGTATAACTAAAGCAAGTTGTAAGCATCCCAACACAATATTATTCAATGTATGTATAAAGTCACAGTTTATGTTATTGTACACCTAATAATATAATTAATATTTAATCTTTAAAGCTTTAAATTAAAAAAAATATTCAATTTGTGTCATTGATAGTCTGAACTTAACTACTTACCAAGGCAAAACAAGTACAGTTTTCTATAAATATGCATATGTAATCACTCATTGAAGTTGTACTAAATAGTAGTGTTACAATTGGGAATGAAAAAACATTTTTCTGTGGAGGTATTTATTTAATTTATAGGTATAAGTGTGGGGTACTAAAAAAACATTTTTCAGCCACGTCTGCAACCACGAAAGAGCATTTACATGTCTCGTTGAAGTACCGAGATAAATTTAGAGTAGTGGTGGAATTATAAATAATGATATAGTATATTAAGAAGCAGTAACAAGCCAGTATCAAAAGTGGCTAGTATATTAAACCATCAAGTTTATGGCTAATATTGTAGTTTTTAATATCTGGCTTAAAATAATTCATAGAGAATTTGGGCCCTTGAACAATTTTGAATTTATCATTTAGTTCTAATTTGAACGTTGAACGTACAACATATCTCTTATCAGATAACAGCGTAATTCCCACCCCTATCTCCTACCCCTATCACTAACCCCCTATCTCCCACTTCCTATCTCCCACCGAGATACTGATTCGTTATGCTTATAACGTTACGCTTTTTTCGTTATTACTTTTTCGGTTATGCACCACAGCAAATTCCCACCCCCAACCCCATTCCCAACCTCGTCTTCATCCCCATTTCTTTTTCGAAGACATGTAAATGTCAAAAGATATTTTGCATTATGATTTATAACGTCAAAATCAGCCCTAATTTTTTTATATTATAAAATATATTCGTCCGTAGCCATACTTAATACACGTAGTAATTTTATGTAACCGTTCGCCCAAGTTTTATTTGTTATTCAAATTTTACATTTATTTCATGGATTATTAAAAGCGGTAGATGTAAAAAAAAAAAAAAACATCTGTGCGCAAAAATCGTTTGCCAATAGTAAATCCGATTGGAAAAATTGACAACTCGCGGTTTGTATAATATAACCTTCCGTTTTTTTTTATAAAACGTTATACTAAAAGTGCACACACAAAAAAATAGTTGAGAAATTCGAATATTGACAATTTTTTATAATATTTTGTAGTTGTATCGACGTATTTTTCTGCTTGAAAAATATTCATCGATGGCACTTGCCGGTAAAAAAAAAAAGCCAGTACAATGGTGTTGGGGCATAGTGGGGACGGAGAAGTCACAGGTCTACAGATTTTATTATAACTGAAAGTGATAAAATCACTTTTAAATAAACGCTTCAATGCGAATCTGTGGATAGTAAGTTCAAACTAGTTATAGCGGTTTAAAAGATATCGTAGGACCAGCAATAATGTACTTAAAATTTAATATTTAGTCTTGTGCAGGGTGGATACGATAAGGGTTGATCGTCTATCAATAAAAATGTACTGTCATAGTTACCTATATATCGTAATTAACAATATAATGAAAATATTTTCATTACCTGTTCACTGTTGATTCACACACACATAGCAACCTAGAAACTGACTACGGTCAAAGTGTAAATTTACACTACTTTTGGGGTTTTTCCTTAACAAAAAAAAATGTTGACTACAGATTTTTGAGAAAATTGTTTATGTTATGTTCCATTTTAGACCTACCTTTGGTCTTATTTTCAGATCTAAATCTCTAAAACTTTGCTTGAAAAAATGAAATAAAGAAAACAATTCTATCCCTTCTAAGGTAAAGGGCTTATGATATTTTTTTGGTTTGTTAAGTATTATCGATAGTACTGTGTTTAAAGAACAGTTCATATAAATTTGGAACTTTTTCGACTATTTTTAAAAAAGTTATAGAGCATCGTAATTTTAAGTTGAAAAATTTGTAAATTTTTAAGGTGTTTTCCCGATTTTTATGGGGAAGGGGTGACTTTTTATTAATTTTTGGCCTAATGAAGTTCCTTTCAGGTATGATTTCTGATCTATAGAGTTGCTACACGAAGAAATGGGTTCAGCAGTTTACGAGATATCGTGGGTCAGGTGTCAAAAATAAAAAATAAAATAAAATCACATCATTGTAAAAATAATACCTTCTCAGCTCCGCATCGAAGCTAAAATATATATCAAATCATATACATATTCTGTTCACTAGTGCTGTAATTGTATGTGTTCCGAATAAATTGCCGGCTTGTAATTCCTTATAACCTTCAAATTATTGTTTAAATAAAAAATTGTGTCATCAAATGCCCGCACGGAAAATAGAAAAACAAAATTTAACGGAAACGATTTTATAAAATCAAAATACTTTAAGTTAATAAACATGTCCTTCAATATTTAGAGTAGGACCTAAGTATGTTAATTATTGACCATCAATAATTATTTTTTTTTTTTTAATCAGAATCCACTACACTTAAATAATATTTATATTCTTAATTTTAAATAATACCTATATACGTCCGTAATATTACACACAATTTAACAGAAAATAATTGATATATACTTAACTTTTTAAAATGTTTTTTTTTAATTACCAGTGTATTTATTTTTTTAGAACACAATATCTATAACAATAAACAATGTTACACTAAAGATACTATTCAAAACACATTACAATATTGGACAGCCTAATTGTGTAGGCTGATTCGCATCATATGGTTTTCAATCATCATTGATAGGTAATCCTCCCCGTTTGAATAACATCAAAAATCCTGGTTCAGCAGTCATGTCAGCAGGCATATGCATGTTATCAGAAGCGAACACGATTACTGATTCTACGAGATTGTCACTGAGAAAACCCGGAATACGTCTACATTTGTAATCTACCAAAATCAGAAGGGGCTTATACAATATACAGTATTGAGAAACGCTATTTTTATTTTTTAAATCGAATAATTTATTATCTAAAATATAACTGATACCTATGTACTTTAATAATATTACATAATATTTAACAGAAACTAATTGATTAAAATTTATTTTTTTAAATGGTTTAAAAAATTGTCAGTGTATTTATTTTTTATGCTAACAATATCTATAAAAACAAACAAAGAAGACACTATTAATCACTTATTATTTCACTCAACAACTAATCACTTTCAACATCATCAATGATAGGTGGTAATCCTCCCTGTTTGAATATCATCGTAAATCCAGGCTTAGCAATCATATCAGCAGGCATATGCTCATTATCAGAAGAAAACACGATAACCGCTTCTTCTTGATTACTACTCAGAATACCCGGAACACGTCTACAATTGTAATCTACCAAACGCGCCTTCTTTTGGTCATTTTGTAATTGTGTGCCCCTTATACCAGATGGCCAGCTTTTTTCATCATACTTTCCTATAATAGCGTCCGCAACTCCACGTGTGCATCGTTTATGACGAAGTATATGATCAACGACTTCCTAAAGAAAACAACAGCTCATTTTTTTTGTTTTTTTAAATTGTTTTTTATGCAAAACTTACCAGAAGCGAACCGTCAGGTGACATTATCAACAAATCCCATCTAAGAACTTCAACTATTTCTAAGGATTGGTCTAAACCATAACTACTATGGTCAATATAATACAATCCTCCTGGCTTTAAAAACATCACAAATCCTGGTTCAAAGATCGTGCTAAGAGGCATATGTATATTATAAATAGCTAACACGAGGACAGCTTCTTCTCGATTGCCTTTGAGAAAACCCGGAATACGTCTGCATATATAATTTTTTATACGGTACTCTTTTTTTTCAACGTCGTAGAACTTGCTCGATATACCGAATGGCCAGTTACTTTCATTATATTTTGAAACAATATCGTCTACACAGTTAGGTGACCATCTTCTTCTAATCAACTCATTCTTAACTTGTTGCTTAAAATTAAAATAACGGTTAATATTTTTTAAATTTTTTTTCAATTGTTTACATTTTTTTACTCAATAGTTACCAGTAAGGAATCGTCAGCCGACCGTATTAAATAATCACTATCTTGAATTTTAACTTCTTCAAAGAAATTCACCCAGTCCATAACGTCAATAGTTGAATATGCCAAACGGATGACTCTATCATTATCCATTCCAATGATCTAAAAAATATAAGGATATGTTGATAATGATAGTTATCAAAGATGATTGCTAAGTAAGTACCAATTTTAAGTCAGCAAACGAAAAAAAAAATACTATACAGTCTATAAATAAATAAAATAATACACAAATATTCCCTTTTGGGAGAATGGGTTTGTTACTACAAAATATAAAGAATAATTCGTGAAAAATTAAGTACTCATTTAATTATTTTTAAAAAAGTTACAGCTTTCCTTGATTTAAAAAAAAAATTATAGGAAAGGAAGGTGTTTTTCTCGATTTTTAGGGTGAAAGGATGAAATTTGTTATATTTTTTCCCATCAGACTACCTTTCAGGTATGATTTCTGATGTTATTTTGTACAAAAGAAAATATGAATTTAGCGATTTTTAATTAGTTGAACTATTTTGTTTCAAACACAGGTTTATATTTTATAAGTAGTTGTGGAAAACATGATAATTACCTCATCATCAGCAGAATTAACGGTTGCAAGATAATATATCAAACATAACGAAACAAAAACTATTAAATTCATTTTATAGTTATAAAGTTTAAACGTTCAAAAAGCTTAAAGACTTTTAACCAACTGAGTAGAACTCTTTAGTGTAGTATCATAGTTGTTAGTTATTGTTTCTGAACAATATAAATTTTTTTTTTTTTTTGTACTTGTTATTGACACTGTATATTTCTGCAAAAACACAAAAAAAAGGAGTTTTATTTGTTAAACTCGATGTACTGCGGTATTCGTTTGGTTAAAAAACCTTTAGAACAATGACAATTCGTGAAATATATTTTGATTTATCGACTACAACAGTGTAAGTTGAGGAGACACATGTGTTAAAGTAAGGTATTTTTTTTACAACGATATATTTTATAGTTTTTTTGGTCGATGGGAAAAGTATTGGTTTTTAAAACATAGATGTGTTCGATTTCATATTTCATTGTAAGTTGACATAAATCCCTGAACCACACATACAATATTCAAAAACGCTATTTTGTCTTTGTAATATTAGAATAATTTTAATAATACAAATAAGATATTCTGTCATCTTATACAGTCATACTTTAAGATGTATATATTAACTACAAACATAAAAAGGGAGTACAGTGGGGTAGGGACATAATGGGGACAGGGATTCGCCACTATCCAGTTTTAGAGAAATTATTATTACTAAAATTCATTAAGTCACTTTCAAATAAACGCTTCGGTGCGAATCTATAGTTTGTATGCTTAGACCAATATCGTCCACACCGAAAGTCATAATATGATGGTAGTACGATTAAAAAATTAAAATAAACCTTTTATTGTAACATAATATTATTCACAAAAAGTGGGAATTTTCGCACGGAGATATACACTTTTATACTTTTAATAAATATAAATAGTTTGACTAATCATATGTAATAGGGACAGTTATCAGTAGTATATTTTTTCTATATTTAAAATAGTGTTAAACGTTTTAGAATTTTAACATATATATTTAAGATATGTACTATATAGAATAGTAGTGCGACCCAAAAACAAACAACGTTGCATTTTTTTTTTTTTGCTTTAATGTTAAAACTTTTTTTAATGCTCATATTTTTTGGCACGCGGGTAAAATAATATGTTTTTTGCAATCCCAAACGTTTGAAATTTTCATAGGTACATGTGTCAATATTAAAGGCTGGTATGAAAGTTTTAAAAAGACATAATGTGTATAAATCAGTAGATATTCCATAGGCATTGGCTGTACATATTGTATACGGGATTTTATTGTAAACGTACTATACAGGGTGATTCTTTTAATGCCACACCACAGACACGCCACTAACATGTTTGTCTTTAGACTGATATTTATCTTGGATATGGTTAAGTGTTGGATCAATTAAAAATTTACTCGGCCATTCTCGCAAAATGGCCACAAAAGTGGTCACGTTTAGTATTCAATAATGCATTGAAGGCATGAATGTTTTACATTTATTTGAATTCCTCCAGGATTCACTAATGTATACCTACTGACTGTCGTTTCAGCTTATGGTCAATAATGCAATTTAGAATAAATACAATACACACACATAAGATATGCTTATAATATCTCAAATTCACAACACAATGATTGGAAAATGAAACTCGATTATGAATATAACTTCAAAAATTAACTATCTAAAATACAAACAACACACATATTTGGCCTTTAACCTTATTGCAATCAATAGTTTAGAATCTAATTGTACACTATTTTAAAAGACTGTGGGCATTACGTGATTACAAAAAATCGTTTAATTAACTTTTCAAAATGGTTTATTTAATTTTCTGTGTATTTGTTTTGCAAGACAGCGTTATCCATAAAAATAAATAAAGTAGTTACTATTGAATAAACATTACATTATTGGACAGTTAGAACTCGCCAACCATTCATTGATAGGGAATGCTCCCTGTTTGAATACCATCAAAATTCCTGGCTTAGCAATCATGTCGGCAGGCATATGCGTATTATCAGAGGCGAACACGATTACTGCTTGTTCTTGATTATCACTGAGAATACCCGGAACACGTCTACATTTGTATTTTCTTAAATATTCCTTCGTTATGGGATTTTGTAATCGTGTGCCCCTAATACCAGATGGCCAGCTATTTTGATTATATTTTCCAACAATAGCTTCCACAAGTACACGTGGCCATTTTTTCTCGAGCAATAGACGCTCGGCGCTTTCCTATAAATAATAATAACGGTTAATTTTTTTAAATATTTTTTAAATTGTTTATCATGCAAAACTACCACAAGGGAGCCGTCAGGCAACGGTAGCAATAATTCCCAATTAGTAACTTCTACTTGCATCAAGATATCTTCCTTATGTTTAAAATATTCCAGATTAATATAATCCAACGCTCCCGAATTGAATAACATCAAAAATCCTGGCTCAATAATCATATCAGCAGGCATATGCGTATTATCAGTAGCCAACACGATTACTGCTTCTTCTCGGTAGCCACTGATAAAACCAGGAACACGTCTACATTTGTATTCTTTCAAAAGTCTCTTCTTAGTGGCGTTTTGTAATTGTGTATTCGATATAACGGATGGCCAGTTACTTTGATAACTGTTTCCTACAAGATCGTCCACAAATTTAGGTGACCACATTCTTTTTATCAACTTCGTCTTAACGTGTTGCTTGAAATGAAAACAACAGTTAACGTTTTTAATTTTTTAAATTGTTTTTTTATGCAAAAATTACCGGAGTGGAATCGTGAGCCGACATCAGCAGTTTACTAGAATCTTGAATTTTAACTAGTACTAATTTTTTTGACCATGATATGACATCAGCAAGTGAATATGCAGAGCTGTTCGGTGTGTCCACTTGTATGCCCTGAAAATAATAATGTTACGTTGAAAGCATCACTTAATTATTTTACTCTTTTAAATCATTTTTTTTATTTTTTTTGTTTCATTAAAAAAAAATAATAATAAGAAAGCCATTTTCTTAAGAATAATTTGCTGAAAATTACGACTGGTCGTTAACCAGATTTGGATAATTAATTTTTATAATACAAAGGTTAAAGGGTTGGATGGGTGGTGAAGTGCAGTAGGGTAAGCGCGTAGAGCTATTTTTATCTGGCGAATTATCTAAAGAATATTCTGTGCAAATTTAGTACTCGTATGATTATTTATGAATATAAGTTACAGAGTTTTGTGATTTAAAAAAAAATGTGTATAAGTATTAGATATTTTTCTAGATTTTGAAAGTGAATGGGTAAAAAAATGGGTATTTCTTGCACAATACTTTTCATGTCAGACACGATTTTTGATATTATTTGGCACAACAACAAAATTAATTTTGGCAATTTTTAATTTTTTAACTGTTTTGTTCTAAAATTGCAGTTTTATAATATTATATATTTATACTAATTACTATAATCGTCATTCTGGTATTACCTTATGTTTAAAGTTACATTAATTTAATAATTATACAATAAATAATCTAGAATTATTCATAATTGTCAAAAACATCATAATTACCATGGTGACGTGAGCAGAATTAGCTGTTGCAATATAATTTATCAGACACAATAAAATAATATATTTTATATTCATTTTGTATTTATATAGTTTAAATGCTATAAAAACGCTTGAATCCTTTTGACTAACTGAAAAAATGTTTTCTTATGCTCAACAATAGCAAGTCGAACTTATAGTAGTTGTTTCTGAATAATATATTTTATTCTCGTCTCCAACTGTCTTGGTTGTTTCCATTTTATTTTACTGAACAAACACAAGCATTTTATTATAAAAACGCGATTTTTGTTAAAAATGATATACTTAGGTAATAATTTGAAAAAAAAATTACATTTCGTAAAATATATTTTGATTTGTCGCCTATATCAGAGACGGATTTTAGCAGTAAGATGAACAGGCACGTGTGTTAATGTAAGGTATTTTTTTACAACAATTAAACAATAGGTAAGAAAAGGAAGAACAGTGGTGTCGGGGCAGAGTGAGGGCGAAGAGGGGAAAAAGTAATAATAATTTTGAGGCTATTGGCGGGTTTGATTTATTATAATATGGACGGCAGAAATCCACGAACAAAACGTACAGTATAATATACAGAAACACTGTTCTGATTTTCTTTAAAATTTAAAATTAGAATATTTTTAATATCACACGTAAAACATTTTACTTTTGAGTCGAAAAATATGAAAAGTTCACTAGTTTATAATAGTAAAATTACTTATACTATTAATTGGTATACTATTCTACATACAAAAATAATAACCACTGATTATTGTCACAATTACATATCTTCTTATATCCTTTTTCTCCTATATCTTCTTGCAAAACTTCTAACTTTTTGTGAAAAATATGAAACAGTTCATTAATAGGTAAAATTTGTGATTTATAAGGTTGCTACTCAAAGGAATTAGACAAGTATTAAAAAAGTGACAATGTATACAGACACTTTTCAATTCAATTAACTGTTGTAACTAGTTACATGTACACATACATAAAATATGATT